TGACCAAAATAATACACCCATGGGTAGACTATCACTATCCTACATTTGATCAACTTTTCTCATTACATGTAGGAAACATAACACTATGATGGGTAAGAACATCGTTAAAATATTACTTCCGTTTAGCTAATTTCCTTGACAACATGCATTATCACCGGCACCTGCCAAGTTGTCTTTATGATATTGAAACAGCTACACGTGTAGCATGCTGGTAGAACGTTCAAAGCAAACTGTTTGCCACTCTTACAGTTTTGTAGAACAGGGATCATGTAATGAAATGCTGGCATAGGAATAGACTACAGACATACTAGTACAGAAAGGAATAGCCTACAGAAATATTAGTACAAAAAGGAATAGTCTACAGACATACTAGTACAGAAAGGAATAGTCTACAGAAATACTAGTAGAAAAAAGAATAGTCTACAGAAATACTAGTACAGAAAGAAATAGTCTACAGAAATACTAGTACAGTAAGTAAGACTCTACAGACACATTAGTACAAACAGGAATCGCCTACAGAAATATTAGTACAAAAAGGAATAGCCTACAGAAATACTAGTAAAGAAAGGAATAGTCTACAGAAATACTAGTAGAAAAAAGAATAGTCTACAGAAATACTAGTACAGAAAGGAATAGTCTACAGAAATACTAGTACAAAAAGGAATAGTTTAAACAAATTCTAGTACAGAAAGGAATAGTCTACAGAAATACTAGTAGAAAAAAGAATAGTCTACAGAAATACTAGTACAAAAAGGAATAGTCTACAGACATACTAGAACCAAAAAGGAATAGTTTACACGAATACTAGTATAGAATGGAATAGTCTACAGAAATAACAGTACAGTAAGTAATAGTCTACAGACATACTAGTACAGAAAGGAATAGTCTACAGAAATACAAGTACAGAAAAGAATAGTCTACAGAAATACTAGTACAGAAAGGAAGTATCTACAGACATACTAGTACAGAAAGGAATAGTCTACAGAAATACTAGTACAAAAAGGAATAGTCTACAGACATACTAGTACAGACAGGAATAGTTTACAGCAATTCTAGTACAGATAGGAATAGTGTACAGACATACTAGGACAGAAAGAAATAGTATACAGAAATACTAGTACAGACAGGAATAGTCTACAGAAATAACAGTACAGTAAGGAATAGTCTACAGAAATAACAGTACAGTAAGGAATAGTATACATACATACTATTACCAAAAGGAATAGTCTACAAAAATACTAATACAGAAAGGAAAAGTCTACAGAAATACTAGTACAGAAAGGAATAATCTACAGAAATACTAGTACAGAAAGGAATAGTCTACAGAAATACTAGTACAGTAAGTAACACTCTACAGAAATACTAGTACAGATAGTAATAGTCTACAGACATACTAGTACAAAAAGCAATAGTCTACAGAAATACTAGTACAGTAAGTAAGACTCTACAGACATATTAGTACAAACAGGAATAGTCTACAGAAACACTAGTACAAAAAAGAATAGTCTACAGAAATACTAGTACAGAAAGGAATAGTCTACAGAAATACTAGTACAGTAAGTAAGACTCTACAGACATATTAGTACAAACAGGAATAGTCTACAGAAACACTAGTACAAAAAAGAATAGTCGACAGAAATACTAGTACAGAAAGGAATAGTCTACCGTCATACTAGTACAGAAAGGAATAGTCTACAGAAATACTTGTACAGAATGGAATAGTCTACAGAAACACTAGTACAGAACGAAATAGTCTTCAAACATACTAGGACAGAAAGAAATAGTCTACTGAAATAATAGTACAGACAGGTATAGTCTACAGAAATAACAGTACAGTAAGTAATAGTATATATACATACTATTACCAAAAGGAATAGTCTACAAAAATACTAGTAAAGAAAGGAACAGCCTACAGAAATACTTGTACAGAAAGGAATAGTCTACAGAAATACTAGTAGAATAAGGAATAGTCTACAGAAATACTAGTCAGTAAGGAAGTATCTACAGACATACTAGTACAAAAAGGAATAGTCTACAGAAATACTAGCACAAAAAGGAATAGTCTACAGAAATACTAGTACAAAAAGGAATAGTGTACAGACATACTAGTACAGAAAGGAATAGTCTACACAAATACTTGTACAGAATGGAATAGTCTACAGAAACACTAGTACAGAACGAAATAGTCTTCAAACATACTAGGACAGAAAGAAATAGTCTACTGAAATAATAGTACAGACAGGAATAGTCTACAGAAATAACAGTACAGTAAGGAATAGTATACATACATACTATTACCAAAAGGAATAGTCTACAAAAATACTAATACAGAAAGGAAAAGTCTACAGAAATACTAGTACAGAAAGGAATAATCTACAGAAATACTAGTAGAGTAAGGAATAATCTACAAACATACTAGTACAAAAAGGAATAGTCCTCAGAAATCCTAGTACAAAATGGAATAGTTTACAGAAATATTAGTACAAAAAGGAATAGCCTACAGAAATACTAGTAAAGAAAGGAATAGTCTACAGAAATACTAGTACAGAAAGGAACAGCCTACAGAAATACTTTTACAGAAAGGAATAGTCTACAGAAATACGAGTACAGAAAGGAACAGCCTACAGAAATACTTGTACAGAAAAGAATAGTCTACAGAAATACTAGTAGAGTAAGGAATAGTCTACAAACATACTAGTACAAAAAGGAAAAGTCCTCAGAAATCCTAGTACAAAAAGGAATAGTTTACAGAAATATTAGTACAAAAAGGAATAGCCTACAGAAATACTAGTACAGAAAGGAATAGTCTACAGAAATTCTAGTACAGAAAGGAATAGTCTACAGAAATTCTAGTACAGAAAGGAATAGTCTACAGAAATTCTAGTACAGAAAGGAATAGTCTACAGAAATACTAGTACAGAAAGGAATAGGCTACAGAAATACTAGTCAGTAAGGAAGTATCTACAGACATACTAGTACAAAAAGGAATAGTCTACAGAAATACTAGTACAAAAAGAAATAGGTTACAGAAATACTAGTACAGAAAGGAATAGTCTACAGAAATTCTAGTACAGAAAGGAATAGTCTACAGAAATACTAGTACAGAAAGAAATAGTCTACAGAAATACTAGAACAAAAAGGAATAGTGTACAGACATACTAGTACAGAAAGGAATAGTCTACACAAATACTAGGACAGAAAGGAATAGTCTACAGAAATACTAGTACAGTAAGTAAGACTCTACAGACACATTAGTACAAACAGGAATAGTCTACAGAAACACTAGTACAAAAAGAATAGTCTACAGACATACTAGTACAGAAAGGAATAGTCTACAGAAATACTAGTACAGAAAGAAATAGTCTACAGAAATACTAGTACAAAAAGGAATAGTGTACAGACATACTAGTACAGAAAGGAATAGTCTACACAAATACTAGTACAGAAAGAAATAGTCTACATAAATACTAGGACAAAAAGGAATAGTCTATACAAATACTAGGACAGAAAGAAATAGTCTACAGAAATACTAGGACAGAAAATCGTGCTCATTGAAAACCGACCCAAGAATATCGTACATACGAATATGAATATTGTTTATACGATACAGGTACATAAATAAACTTCATGAAATACAATATTGGTATAGGACTGTTTATGAAGTACGAGTACTTGTATTGGAATTTTCTATAAGAACTGTTTTTATTCTGTTTCTTTAAATACGTTGACGTTTAGAATAATATACATGACATTTGTCCTTGTAATACTACAAAAAGAATGGACGTATTCCTTTCCTTCAGTTCTTTTGCCATATTATATAGCAGTCTTCATATAGATGATGGCGACTTGGATTGAACAACACATCTTGAATGGCATGCATTATCACCAACTGAATCGCTATCAACATACATCTTAGAATCCATATTTTTAATGCATTTTACTCATGCAGTATTGATTTAATTATGCTATTGCAGTCAGTAGCGGAGGTTTTATGATGAGCATATCGCCTTTAGATAAAGGAGTTAATACAAATGTACATATATAGGGATACAGGTTCCCAAACGAGTGATGATTGATTTTCAGTTTTATCTAACTAGAGTAAGCTAATTTTCAAATGTTTAAGACACTAGGTTTTTCGAGTTTCTTTTCCAATTTTAAAACATACTAACGAGAGTTAGATAACATAAAACTCACCCATCACAAGTTTGGGTCCCTTTTTCTCTCGCAACGTTTTATTTCTCTAGGGAATACATTGTTGTCATGAACTATGACGTCACAATGGAAATTGATGTCTCAAAGCATTGTTTCTTGACGACAGAGTTAGTTAGTTGACTGATAAAATAACGTACAGGGTGTAACCCACTAGTGGGTAACCAAACTGTTTACCATCTCCTAGCAGGTTTATCCAATGTGGTGGGAGTGAGGAAACCTGTTGTGGTTGCGAATGATTTCTAGAGGTTAACAGTAACTATGGTATACATAAAAGCGTATTCGTAAACATGAATGCATTTCAACGTAATGAAAAGTTACACTTTAAGAGTTACCTGTTAGTATTGAGAAGTGCATTGTAAGTTGTGGTAAGGTTTTTCATAGGTCCGCAATTTCTTATATTGCAACCTGGCAAGATGACGTACGTATAGAAAAATAAGACATTGTGAGAAAGTACAATCGTATTTAGAAATGCAAAGTAAGAAACGCATATTTGGAGGTGCATTTGCATTGGAAAGCACACACTGTGTTACAAGTACATGTAGTAGGTACAGACGGAAGTACATAGTATTTGGAAGTACAGAGGCTTCGGAAGTACATAAAAATCGGAAAATACATGAAGCATTGGGAAGTATATACATTAACAAATTAGATGAATATGAGTGGTTATATGCGCATATACGTAGAGTGAGCGTGTAGGTACATTGCTTTTATAATGTGATAGGGGGGAAAGACTTTTGAACTATCAAACAATGTAAATTACGTAAGAAGTAATAAAAAGTATGACTCACCGAGGAAGTGCACCAGTAGTCCTATTAAGAGTGCCACCAATACCACTATGACAACAATAGCCACAATCTTAACCACTGACCGCTGCCGGGAAGTGAACGACTTTTTGAAACGGACGTCGGATGGAGGTAGTTCCGTGGTCACGTGATAGTCCTTGGCGCGTGACCCCTTCTCCCCTGGGGTACCGTTGCCGCCCGTGGGGCCCATACCATGACGTACCAGGTCGTCCTGTGGGTATCGTGAGTCCTCCTCGTGGAACAACGGGTTGTCATAGCAAGCCTGCAGAAGAGTAACACTCTCATCACCACTAGGGTACAGTTTCCTGTGAATTACCTTGAGAGGAATTCTGTTAAGGATGTTGCCGCTCATGGCCATGAAGTGGGCACCGCACTAAGTTAGAGTGAGAACAGATCCCCCTACAGCCACAGAGCACTATTTCTATAGGTTAAAAGACATGGTCGCCCCACGGCGCCTACTATTTGATTTTTGTATCTAACTCATCTTACTCTGTCTAACGGTTACACTTTAAAATTGACCATTGTTATAAAACGCGAGGAGGCAAAGCAGCAGTGACAGCGATGGGATGTCGCTCGGGTTTGTATCACGCCTAAGACACACAGGGTTACAGGTATCAACATATATGCATAGACTTCCGGTAAAATCAATAAGTTATGCCCGCCGTACTAATTCAACTGGATAATGGACGGCTATGTTTGCATGTGAGTCCGCGTCATTAGTTACTATTTCACCCTCCCCCGTTCTGCCACAGGACAGGGCTCGACCACCAATGTCATGGGCTATATCCTTTGGCTTTTAAATGCATGTATATTGGCTTTTAATGCCGGAAGTCATCATCGGAAACAAATGGACGGAGTTAGAATCCAGTCTGAGCTGTTTCTATCATGTACGCCGGTACAGCAGTGCGTCTATCTGAAAGCATTTCGTTCGGAAGCCGGTAATTCATTCTCGTCCTCGTTTAATCAACACATAAACATCCACTTTGAATGGTGGTAAAGGAGTAAATTTGCCGACAGTTTGGGATTTGGGAAGTTTAGTGTACCATAAACCCGAACAGACGTACGGCAAGGCCAATGGAATGATTTCATCCTTTGATTACAGAATATAATGGTAACAAGCAACTCACGACCGTTACAACACTGCCAATTACACCGGGATTGAAGTTTTCATGAAGCATCGGCAGCGACGATAGCAGCACTGCCCAGAAAGAGTATAAGGGAATAATTTGGTACCATTACAAGTTTCTTGATCGTAACAGTGGGAAATAGCAGGATTGTTAGGAGGAATTACTGGCTCAATTATACCGACAATGGTGTCTCCACACTTTATGGTAGTTACATTGTGTATAATTGGACAGTGCGCGGAAGAGGCCAGTAGTTCACGTATCTCACGTAACGTTCCGCCGTCACAAACAAAATGTTGTGAGGAAATGGTCAGTAATGCAGAACTTTTGTTACCACTTTTAATTTAAGATATCGCGCATACCTCTGTCTATGATTGAGCGTCTGTATGTAAGATTTTAAAATTAAAAAGTGAATCCATGAAAGAAAAAAAAATTGTCGTTTAGTTGTACAGGTAGCAAGCCGTGAGGTTAGATTGTGAATGATTTCCTCCGGCGGTGGTTAAATTGTTTCACATGTAAAATACAAATTACTTTTCAAATGCATTTATTGCTTATTTAAGAAAAATGTCACTAACTACATGACAAGTCTATTTATGCCGTGATGGAGGGAACTAAACTGATATGTGTATGGCAGCAAACACAAACTATCAATTTATTACATTAGTTTGCCTACACCGTGCATTCTTACACGTAACACCATGGGGATCACATGCTGTTTAATACGTCTTTATCCTGAGACACATATATATATATATATATATACGTCTCTGCTTTATCGTAGTAGAATTGTAATAATTGATATGTGTATATTTCACATCTGTTTTTAAATTGATGTAGCTGAATTGTATGCTTTTGAATCATATATATATGATATAGATATGCTGTGCGTTTGGTAAATGCCAGTTGACATGCCCTTTGGTTTTGTATTACAGAGCTCAAATCCCCGAACAACATGCAGTTCTTTTAGTTTTCAAATTGTTATATATTGTAACAAATACACAATACCACCATTTTAAAGATGTTTTCATATTCAGGTATGTTAAGTATATACCATAGCTATACACATTTATTACATACTTACTAATAAATACGGGGATTTTGTATATGCGATACGACACAATTGCTCTAACCCATATCAGCCCTCGCCGTATCACACCCCAAAAACCGTATCAGCCCCCGCCGTATCACACCCCAAAACCCGTATCAGCCCGCAAAACCCATATCACACCCCTTTTGGAAAAAAAATCGTTTTTCAATATTTCAAAAATAAAAATAAATCATAAGATAGTAGTTTTTATTAGTAATTATGTAATAAACAGAATAATACATGCCTTTTTCCATATCACGCCCAGTATCAATCCTCGACCAATATCAGCCTCTGGGGTTGATACTGGGTGTGATATGGAAAAAGGCATGTATTATTCTCTATGTACTGTATATGATATTTATGATATCTACATAATGGGACTCGATGTTATACAGTATTGCCCAATACTCGAATATGGTGACGTTTGGTTTGGCTAAGTATTGTTTAACGTCCTATCAACAGCTATGGTCATTTAAGGACGGCCTTCCCTGTGTGCAAGATGCATGCGTGAAGTGTATGCGTGTGTGTTTAGGGAGGCTGCGATATGTTCGTGTTTGTCTCCTTGTAATAGCACGGAACTGATGCCGATTTTAAAGTGCTACGTATACAGTACCTCACTGACACATACTGCCGAAGACACCCAGCAGGATACCCCATCCGGTCACATTATACTGACAACGGGCGAACCAGTCGTCCCACTCCTAAATTGCTGAGCGTTAAGCAGGAGTAGGAACTACATATATAATTTTTACAGACTCTGGTTTGTCTCGGCCAGGGTACAAAACCCAAAGCCTTTCTCACAGGGGCGAACGCTCAACTAAAGGCTAAACGTGAGGCATTGTCAAGGGAGACATTAGGAAGAAGAAAGTTGTTTAGAAAGAAGAGAAAAGATAAGAAAATAGAACGACTATTCTCTTTGGTGAGAAAAATAACCTCACAGGGTTTACACATGATCGCACGAATACCTGACTTGGTAACAACATCTACCTTTATTGATGTCATTTTTAGCGTGTTGTCCACAACACCTTGGGGTTCGAGACGCCATCAGGTAGAACGGTGTCTGATGTTAAAAAGGGGCATCTAAAGTTAGAGGTACACATTGTGTTAGATGATTCGGTTTATGCGTCAGGTTTCAGAGGGGCTCTCTCAGTTTAGAGGGACGTCTAGGGTTAGAGTGATGTGACGTTTGGGTTAAGGGGGACACAGCTGGGGCCAGTGAGATTATCGATTCATAGGGACTTCTTGTTTTAGCGAGACCTCTTGGTTTAGAGTTACTTGTGGGGTTAAACAGACGTCTAAAATAGGATGAAGCGTTTTTATTTTGTTTGGTGATAATTTCAAAATGGTAAATCATTTCCTCACCTTAGAAATATTTTATAGTCATATATAATTGACAAAAACATACATGTATGTGATTAACAGAGAGGTAGGCAGTCTGTCCACAGATTTTGTGGGTGTGTGTGAACAGAAATACACATTATTAAAGACAGAAGTTTAGTTGTTTTAAAACCGTTAGCTTATATAATAGTGTCAAGCATTTACAACGACAGAGACAACAGTTGAGCAGACCGTTGATGTGCTATCTAGTTTCTGATCTGCTGACCGCTGACAGTAATTAGGAGGTAGATGAACAGAGACTGACTACTGATCAATCAGCACTCATCAAACCCATCACGGACACAGGCCCATTCCAATTAACGGACAAACGTTGTCAATCAAGTCAATAGATGCTTTATAGTTTTACGTGGTGATAGATAATTAGGAATAATCGTACCTAATACTAAACGTGTATTCAGAAGATAATTATAAGGAAGATATTGGGATGATTACAAGTCTCTCCTGATAAGTAGACGTCGAAATAACTAGATTTTAAAAATAATGGAGAAAATTTGTTCGATTATCATTAGTGTTCAAAGATAAGTATAACACCTGATAATCAATTATAGAAGATGCAACTCTCAAACAATTGACATCAGAAAAAGAAAATTGGATTTCTTTTCTAATATAGTTATTGTTTTCACATAATTTTCATTCTCTTGATCTTAATTTCACAGATGAATCAAAAACGGACCATACGATCACATGGTTCAGTAAATATTTACATTGTGTGACTTTCTTTCTGCCTCAACCAAACTAAATATTTTAATAGATGCTTCTTTATTTCGCATTTCTGGTGACTATTTGGACGGAGGAGCAAAGTGTGATCTTTTCCCCCTCTACACACTCATAAACACATTTCAAACATTGCACAACACATATATTATATGCATGAACATTTCTCGCAATCACATTGGTCGGATCCTATACACGTGACCAGTCCTCAAAAACTCTTGTAGACTGGTTATCCGGTGAATATCGATTTCTAAATATAGCCTGTATGGAAATTCCCCGGAACCTGTCGTAGCGCATGCGCAGTTAGACTGGAACGCGATCTGTCAGACGACATTAGAAGATTGCTGCTGGCGAACGTTTCTCCTCCGTTAGGAAAATTACCAAAACTATTCGAGGATAAAGATGCTGTAAACGTAAAAAAAAAAAAGGCCATGGAACATGCAGTGCATTTTCTCCATGCTTACCTTAAGAAAAAGAATCTAGACGATGCATTCGAAAGCTACAATGCTCAACTGTTGTATTTAAACCTGGCTAAATTTTACACGGAGGCTCGCGTACAAAAATCAGAACCTTTGGTTTTGTTTTGTTTATTTTATTGTTGAAGCATATAATAAAACAGTTATGGGCTTTTGTGCTGGTAAATATGATGTGATATGAACCTGAAAGAGTGATATTGACCTCGGCTTCGCCTCGGTCAATATCCTCGGTCAATAACCCTCTTTCAGGTTCATATCACATCATATTCACCAGCACAAAAGTCAATAATTTTATAATGAAACACGAACTATTATCCACTGAGGTGCAGTGAAACAAAATTGATGTTAATGATATGTAAGGCTTATATATTGCATGAACCAATGTACATTTGGAGTGTAAAATGAAATATATAATGCTTATAAGTACTTTTATAATCATTTAAATTTTCAGATAAAATGGGGG